TTTGGCCCCCACGCCTACAGAGATTTTAATCCCTGTTAACTCTTTAATACTTTTCGTGCAGTTCTTCTCAAGGCTCCCCTTCTGCATGTGTGTGCTTGTCAGTGCGTGAATTCTTCAAGGTAAAAGTTGTGTCATTATGTCTATCTCTGGCAGACACCTTCCAAAGCATCTTGCAGTCCCTGGGACAGTCATTGTTTAGGGGAATCTTAACAACCAGTTACAGTGCAGTATTCTTTCTAAATCAGCAGTGGTGCATCTCCTATTAATCACCTGTGAGTAGAGATGAATGTAGCTTTACATAATTTCAGGTTAGACTGTAGTTGTAGAATAACCTATAACTCATTAAAACACCAGATTTTAATATTAATAAAAATAAAATTCAATTAAGTAGCCACTAGCTTTCGTATATAACAGCAATACCCAGATAAGGATATGGAAGTTATTCTCAAAATTAATGGCTGTAGTAACAACTATGGGCTTCTCAGTTGGTGCTAGTGATAAAGAACCTACCTGCCAATGCAGGAGACATAAGAGATGCAGGTTCAATCCCTGGGTCAGGAAGATCCCCTGCAGGAGGGCATGGCAACCCATTCCAGTATTCTTTCCTGCCTGGAGAATCCCATGGACAGAGGAGCCTGGCAGGCTACAGTCCATATGGTCACAAAGAGTCAGACACGACTGAAGCGACTGAGTACACACACACAATATCTGTAACATAAAATGTTTAGAAATAAACTAATAAAATAAAACCACCAAATGTTAGTAATAAATATGGAAGATTTTAAAGTAATTATAAAAACATTTCTTGATTAAAAATACTGAATATTCTGGAGGTTGCATGTCTATCCAGATTAATTTATAAATTTATCTTAATCTTAGTGTAATATTTACTAGTTTTTTGAATGACAGAGTGATCCTAAAAAGTATTTGCAAAAATGAATAGGTAAGAATGGTTATGGAAGTTTTAAAAAGAAGAGTAGGAATTTGAAGGTTAGAAATTCCTTATGAGATATTAAACTGATAGTCTTTACAATAATTTGGTTTCACCACAAGATTTAAGATATCAGTAGACATGTTGATATATGGCAGAACCATCACAATATTGTAATTATCCTCTAATTTAAAAGAAGCATATATATAAAAGATTATCAGTGGACAGTATTAGAGCCCCAAATAGGCTCCTTTATATACAGTAACTTCATTTATAATAAACATCACAAGTTGCTGAAGAAGTTACTGATTATTCAATAAATGATACTAAGAAAATTGGCTACTGGGGAAAGGGAGGAGTAGGGATATATCATCAACCTTTAATTCTAATAAATTGCAGAAGAAATTGGTGTTAAATATTAAAGAGGAAAATATAATGAGAAAAGAAATACAGAAATTTAATAATGGTCTTCAGAAAAGACTTTCTAAAGCTAAAAGCAATGGAAGATCAGAGAAAACGATTAATAATATTTGGTTATGTATAAATTTAGAAACATTTGTATGTCTAAACAAAAAATAAGAGATAGTTCAGAGGAAAATATTTGCTACATATTATGGACAAAAGTTGGTGACACTAGTGGTAAAGAACCTGCCTGCCTATGCAGGAGACATAAGAGATGCGGGTTTGATCTGTGGATCAGGAAGATCCCCTGGAGAAGAAAATGGCAGCCCACTCCACTATTCTTACCTGGAGAATCCCATGGACAGAGGAGCCTGGCAGGCTGCAGTCCATAGGGTCGCAAAGAGTCTTAACACGAGAGAAGTGACTTAGCACACAGCGTGGACAAAGGTTGCCCTTACTATACAAAGAATAAATATCATGAATAAATAAGAAAAACACAACATTTCAATAAAAATGAACAAATGTGAACAAATAAAGCCATGAAAGAAATGTAAATAGGAAAGTGTATATTTAAAACTAATGTAAATTAATTTAAATTACAGTAAGTAAGGGTTAGTCGCTCAGTCGTGCCTGACTCTTTGTGACCCTGTGGACTGTAGCCCACCAGGCTCCTCTGTCCATGAGATTTTCCAGGCAAGGATACTGGAGGGGGTTGCCATTTCCTTCTCCAGGGGATCTTCCCAACCCAGGGACTGAACCGGAGTCTCCTGCACTGCAGGCAGATTCTTTACCTACTGAGCTACAGGGGAAACCAGATTAAACAATAATTGAACATAATTTTTACCCCTCTCAAACTAATGCATGTATGCGTGCTCAGTCATGTCTGACTCTTTGGAGGATTGAAATTTAAAACTTAAAATTGACAAGAGTATGATGAAATGGACACACATACATTACTCACTGATAAGGATGTAAATCAGTGTGAACTTTTTGGGAAAGCAGTTTTTACTGTTTGATCTAGTTATTCCATTCCTAATATATCCTAAAATAATAGAGATGCATATTCTACTATTTCTTGCTGTGTAACAGATGACTCCAAAATTGAATAGCTTAATAAACATATAGTATCTCACAGCTTCTGTCAGTTGAGAATTCCTGTACAGAATAGCTGTGCTGTGCTTAGTCCAGCTCTTTGCGACCCCATGGACTGTAGGCCGCCAGGCTCCTCCGTCCATGGGATTCTCCAGGCAGGAATACTGGAGTGGGTTGCCATGCCCTCCTCCAGCAGATCTTCCCAACCCAGGGATGGAACCCAGGTCTCCTGCATTGCAGGCAGATTCTTTGCTAACTGAGCCACCAGGGGAGCCCACAGAGTGGCCTCGAATTCAGGTTGCCTCACAGTACTCAAGGTGTTGACCAGAGCGGCAGCCGCCTGATGACACAGCTGAGGAGGAATCTGCTTCCAGGCTCTCAGGTGGCCCTGGGCAGCTCTCAGGCATTACTCGCTTTTGGCTGAAGACAACAGCTCCTTGCTAGAGCAGGGACCTCTCCAGAGAGCTGCTTACAGCAGGGTAACTTACCTTCCTGACGGAGAGATGGAAGTCTTGTTGTTTTTGTAAACTAATCTTGGAACTAACATCTCATCCCTTATGCTATAGTCTGTTTGCCAGAAGAAAGCGCTAGGTCCGGCCCACGCTCTAGGGGAGAGGATCACACAAGGGCATGAATACCATGAGATGGATTTACTGGAAATATTTTAGATACTGTCTCCCATACAGGTTAATACACAAAGGTTTTCATACAGGTTTTAAAAAATTTGTAATAGCCAAAAAATACATAGTCACATGTACACAAAGAAACAATTAAGGAAGCAGCTTAAATGTTCCACAGCAAAAGAATGGTTAAATTGTGCTATGTAGTATAAATGTATAATAATTTGTACCTTTTTGAGTGCTGATCATATGCTACACATTTGTTAAGATTTACACACATCTCTGTAAAATATTATATGTAAGGTAGTGGTTATTATCCTCATTTTACAGATGAAAAAACTGATATTCAAGGACTTTGTACTTAAATGTCATTTTACAGTTTTTCAGGAGTTGCCTGGCTTCAAAACCCAGTGAGCACATTGCTATTTAGGTATGCTTATGAAGAATACTTGACTTCCCTGGGGGCTCAGATGGTGAAGCATCTGTCTACAAGGCAGGAGACCTGGGTTCAATCCCTGGTTGGGAAGATTCCCTGGAGAAGGAAATGGCAACCCACTCCAGTACTCCTGCCTAGAAAATCCCATGGACAAAGGAGCCTGGTGCAAGCTACTGTCCATGGGGTCGCAAAGAGTCTGACACAACTGAGCGACTTGACTCACTCACTCATGAAGAATATTTAGGGGCTTTCCTGGTAACTCAGCTTGTAAGGAATCTGCTGCAGTGCAGGAGACCTGCGTTCGATCCCTGGGTTGGGGAGATCCCCTGGAGAAGGGTTAGGGTACCCACTCCAGTGCTCTCGGGCTTCCCTGGTGGCTCAGCTGGTAAAGAATCTGCTGCAGTGCAGGAGACCTGCGTTCGATCCCTGGGTTGGGGAGATCCCCTGGAGAAGGGTTAGGGTGCCCACTCCAGTGCTCTCGGGCTTCCCTGGTGGCTCAGCTGGTAAAGAATCTGCTGCAGTGCAGGAGACCTGCGTTCGATCCCTGGGTTGGGGAGATCCCCTGGAGAAGGGTTAGGGTGCCCACTCCAGTGCTCTCGGGCTTCCCTGGTGGCTCAGCTGGTAAAGAATCCGCTGCAGTGCAGGAGACCTGCGTTCGATCCCTGGGTTGGGGAGATCCCCTGGAGAAGGGTTAGGGTGCCCACTCCAGTGCTCTCGGGCTTCCCTGGTGGCTCAGCTGGTAAAGAATCTGCTGCAGTGCAGGAGACCTGCGTTCGATCCCTGGGTTGGGGAGATCCCCTGGAGGAGGGTTAGGGTACCCACTCCAGTGCTCTCGGGCTTTCCTGGTGGCTCAGCTGGTAAAGAATCTGCTGCAGTGCAGGAGACCTGCGTTCGATCCCTGGGTTGGGGAGATCCCCTGGAGAAGGGTTAGGGTGCCCACTCCAGTGCTCTCGGGCTTCCCTGGTGGCTCAGCTGGTAAAGAATCCGCTGCAGTGCAGGAGACCTGCGTTCGATCCCTGGGTTGGGGAGATCCCCTGGAGGAGGGCATGGCAGCCCACTCTGGTATTCTGGCCTGGAGAAATCCTTGTGGACAGAGGAGCCTGGCAGGCTAGAGTCCATGGGGTCACAAAGAGTCTGAAATGACTGAGCAGCTAAGCACAAAAACAAGCATGAGGGATATTTAATGACATGAGGAAGACTCTAAAAACTGTTTTTTACAAAGTGATATGTGTGTGTCTGCACCTTTTATTTATGTGTAAGAAAAAAACAATAGTCACAAATGTCAGCTTTCATTGACAGAGCAATAGAATACTAAAATTTTTCTTTAAACTTTTATTTGATTGTAGATCTTTTCATTCTGTATATATTCCATGTATAATCATGTTTAAAAGTCAGAATGCTTTGAAAAGTAGTTCAGCTCTCTCCCGAGGTAAAACTGCTAGCAAGACTTGTATACACCGTTCTATGTGAAACTGAAATTTTACTTGGTAATGAATAATTCCATTTAATATTCCTCTAGATTACTGATCTTTCCTTACCCAACTATCTGGTGGCATCTTCAGTTGGACTGCTTCCTACCCAGCTCCTGAATTCTTACCTGGGTACCACCCTGAGGACCATGGAAGATGTCATTGCAGAGCAGAGCGTTAGTGGATATTTTGTTTTTTGTTTACAGGTGAGTTTAAGGACAAGCTTGTCTTTTTTGTTGTTGTTTCTTGATTTAAATCAAAGAAATTTCACTGAAAATAATTTGATTTTTGCCTTTTTCACATCTTTTCTTGTTCTTTCAATACTACTACATATTTTGACAATATTTACATTTTTAATCTTGTGAATATATGGAAATACATATAACCGAATTGACACTTACTGAAAATTTTCTAAGCACAAAACAGGGAATGACAGAAATAGGGTTCTTTTTGCAGTGATTATTTTTAAAATCATGACTAAATCAAATATTCTGAATTTATATGAACTATTGTTAATACAAATAGGAAAAGGAATACATCAAGGCTGTATATTGTCACCCTGCTTATTTAACTTATATGCAGAGTACATCATGAGAAACGCTGGGCTGGGAGAAGCACAAGCTGGAATGAAGATTGCCAGGAGAAATATCAATAAACTCAGATATGCAGACGACACCTCCCTTATTGCAGAAAGTGAAGAGGAACTAAAAAGACTCTTGATAAAAGTGAAGGAGGAGAGTGAAAAAGTTGGCTTAAAGCTCAACATTCAGAAAACTAAGATCATGGCATCTGGTCCCACCACTTCATGGGAAATCAATGGGGAAACAGTGGCTGACTTTATTTTGGGGGCTCCAAAATCACTGCAGATGGTGGCTGCAGCCATGAATTTAAAAGACACTTACTCCTTGGAAGGAAAGTTATGACCCACCTAGACAGCATATTAAAAAGCAGAGACATTACTTTGCCAACAAAGGTCCGTCTAGTCAAGGCTATGGTTTTTTCAGTGGTCATGTATGAATGTGAGAGTTGGACTGTGAAGAAAGCTGCGTGCCGAAGAATTGATGCTTTTGAACTGTGGGGTTGGAGAAGACTCTTGAGAGTCCCTTGGACTGCAAGGAGATCCAACCAGTCCATCCTGAAGGAGATAAGTCCTGGGTGTTCATTGGAAGGACTGATATTGAAGCTGAAACTCCAATCCTTTGGCCACCTCATGTGAAGGGTTGACTCATTGGAAAAGACCCTGATGCTGGGAGGGATTGGGGGCAGGAGGAGAAGGGGACGACAGAGGATGAGATGGCTGGATGGCATCACTGACTCGATGGGCGTGAGTTTGAGTAGACTCTGGGAGTTGGTGATGGACAGGGAGGCCTGGTGTGCGTCGGTTCATGGGGTCGCAAAGAGTCGGACACGACTGAGCGGCTGAACTGACTGACTGACTGTTAATACTGTGTTTCTAAAGGTAATTTTAATGAGATTTGATGAAGTTGGGTTTTTAATCTTAGTTACTTTATATCTTTAAATTTTGAAGATACTGAACTTTTCTATTGAAATTTTTTAGATTATTATACTGGCAATGTAAATTTCTTTCTAGTACAATTTGCTATGAACAGATTTTTTTAGAAACTACTTCTTTATATAAAGTAAAAATATTATTCTTTTGCGAGTTTAAATATTTGTAAGTAGATTAGTACTACTATGCAAATTATAATATAGTTTGAGGTACATATAATTTCATATAAGAGATTGATAAAAGAGGAAAGTCCTGCTAGGTAGGCAGATTTATTCAGTGCCTTAAATTACATGCTGGAAGAGTTAAAACTTCATTTGCTTGTAATACATTTCATTCCTAGGATTTACCAAAATATAAAATTACAATTTTTGATGATTTAGTAAGATGGTGATGATGATGATAGCTAATATCTGTTGAATGCTTTATATGCCACATGTTTAAGCTCATTTAATGCCTACCAAAAGCTTAGTAGGTATATACTTTTATTATCTATTATCACAAGCCAATTTTGTATTCAGTAATGTTACATTGGTAGATTTAAATTGGTCATGACAGAGGGTATTACAATTCTGGAAATTGCAAGTGTTCTAAATGAAGCCTGCCATCTCTGATCCCTAAGATCAGAGGTGTGTGTTTACCAGCACACCATTAGATAGTAATTTGTGCAGGGGGTAGAATCAGGATTTGAACAAAGGCAGTTGGTTCTAGAGACCAACCTCATACGTCTACTGAGCAGATAATACCAGGTAGATAGCGGACTTAGTGATCTCCTGAACTGTGAGTTTTAACTTATACTGTTTTTGAATATATGGTATCACATTACGAATTTACTGTTAATGCTATTATTCTCAAGTTTTTGAGGCACTATATTGTTTCAAAAATACTATGATAAAGTTAGAGTTAATTTTCTTTGTGCTTATGCAGTACAAATTTAGTAAACAAAATGAGCCCAGGAATATTTAATTAAACTATAAATAAGCTTGTCAGAGAAGACTTGCTTTAACATAAATTTTGTAATATTTATGATATTCAGGAAATCAGTTTTTATTTTCCTTTACTGTTTTCTTCTTCACAGCTACATTTTCTAAAAGATAACCTGCTCTAGGTTTAGAGTGTTTGTTATAGTTGGTTTATTTTTATTAATGTAGCATGCTAATTGCATATTAAACTTTCTATGTGTTATGTCAGTCAGTTGGTTCAGTTGCTCAGTCGTGTCTGACTCTTTACTACTCCATGGACTGCAGCACGCCAGGCCTCCCTGTCCATCACCAACTCCTGGAGCTTGCTCAAACTCACATCCATTGAATCGGTGATGCCATCCAACCATCTCATCCTCTGTCATCCTCTTCTCCTCCTGCCTTCAATCTTTCCCAGCATCAGGGTCTTTTCCAGTGAGTCAGTCCTTCACATCAGGTGGTCCAAGTATTGGAGTTTCAGCTGCAGCATCAGTCCTTCCAATGAATATTCAGGACTGATTTCCTTTAGGATTGACTGGATCTCCTTGCAGTCCAAGGGACTCTCAAGAGTCTTCTCCAACACCACAGTTCAAAAGCATCAATTCTTCGGTGCTCAGCTTTCTTTATAGTCCAACTATCAACATCCACACATGACTACTGGAAAAGCTGTAGCTTTGACTAGATGGACCTTTGTCGGCAAAGTAATGTCTCTGCTTTTTAATATGCTGTCTAGGTGGGTCATAACTTTCCTTCCAAGGAGTAAGTGTCTTTTAAATTCATGGCTGCAGCCACCATCTGCAGTGATTTTGGAGCCCCCAAAATAAAGTCAGCCACTGTTTCCACTGTTTCCCCATCTATTTGCCATGAAGTGACCGGACCGGATGCCATGATCTTAGTTTTTTTAATGTTGAGTGTTAAGCCAACATTGTCACTCTCCTCTTTCACTTTCATCAAGAGGCTTTTTAGTTCTTCTTCGCTTTGTGCCATAAGGGTGGTGTCATCTGCATATCTGAGGTTATTGGCATTTCTCCCGGCAATCTTGATTGCAGCCCAGCATTTCATATGATGTACTCAGCATATGAGTTAAATAAGCAGGGTGACAATATACAGCCTTGATCTACTCCTTTCCTAATTTGGAACCAGTCCGTTGTTTCATGTCTGGTTCTTACTGTTGCTTTTTGACCTGCATAGAGATTTCTCAGGAGGCAGGTAAGGTGGTCTGGTATTCTGATCTCTTGAAGAATTTTCCACAGTTTGTTGTGATCTACACAGTCAAAGGCTTCGGTGTAATCAATAAAGCAGAAGTAGATGTATTTCTGGAATTCTCTTGCTTTTTTGATGATGCAGTGGATGTTGGCAATTTGATCTCTGGTTCCTCTGCTTGAACATCTGGAAGTTCACAGTTCATGTACTGTTGAAGCCTGGCTTGGAGAACTTTGAGCATTGCTTTGCTAGCATGTGAGATGAGTGCATTTGTGCGGTAGTTTGAACATTCTTTGACATTGTCCTTCTTTGGGGTTGGAATGAACACTTACTTTTCCTGTCCTGTGGCCACTGCTGAGTTTTCCAGGTTTGCTGGCATATTGAGTGCACTTTCACAGCCTCATCTTTTAGGATGTGAAATAGCTCAACTGGAATTCCATCATCTCCACTAGCTTTCTTCATAGTGATCCTTCCTAAGACCCACTTGACTTCGCATTCCAGGATGTCTGCCTCTAGGTGAGGATCACACCATCGTGGTTAAATGGGTCATGAAGATCTTTTCTGTATAGTTCTTCTGTGTATTCTTGCCACCTCTTCTTAATATCTTCTGCTTCTCTTAGGTCCATACCATTTCTGTCCTTTATTGTGCCCATCTGTGCATGAAATGTTCCCTGGGTTTCTCTTAATTTTCTTGAAGAGATCTCTAATCTTTCTGATACTATTATTTTCCTCTGTTTCTTTGCACTCTTCATTTAAGGAGGTCTTATCTCTCCCTGCTATTATCTGGAACTCTGCATTCACTGGGATATCTTTCCCTTTCTCCTGTTGCTTTTCCTTCCCTTATTTCCTCAGCAATTTGTAAAGCCTCCCCAGACAACCACTTTGCCTTCTTGCGTTTCTTTTCTTTGGGATGGTTTTGGATACTGCCTCCTATACAGTATTACCAACCTCTGTCTATAGTTCTTCAGGCACTCTGTCTACCAAATCTAATGCCTTGAATCTATTCACTACCACCACTGTATAATCATGAGGGATTATAAATCAAATCGATTTAGGTCATACTTGAATGGCCTAGTGGTTTTCCCTACTTTTCTTCAATTCAGGCCTGAATTTTGCAATAAGGAACTCATGATCTGAGCCACAGTCAGCCCCAGGTCCTGTTTTTTGCTGACTGTGTAGAGCCTCTGTATCTTTGGCTGCAAAAAACATACTTAGTCTGATTCTGATATTGACCTTCTCATGATGTCCAAACATAGAATGTAAAGTGTGTGTGCTGTGACCAGCAAGTTCTCTTCACAAGACTGGTCGCCATTGTCCTACTTCATTTTGTACTCCATGGCCAACCTTAACCTTGCCTGTTTCTCCAGATATGCCTCAACTTCATACTTTTGCATTCTAATCCCTTATGGTGAAAAGGACATCTTTTTTAGTGTTAATTCTAGGTGTTGTAGGTGTTCATAGAACTGGTCAGCTTCAGCTTCTTCAGCCTCAGTGATTGGGGCAGAGACTTTGATTGCTGTGATGTTGAATGGCTTGCCTTGGGAACAAACTGAGATCACTCTGTTGTTTTTGAAACTGTACCCAGTACTGCATTTTGGATTATTTTGTTGACTATGAGGGCCACTCCATTTCTTCTAAGGAATTCCTGCTCACAGTAGTAGATATAATGGTCATCTGAATTAAATTTGCCCATGCCCCTCCATTTTAGTTCACTGATTCCGAAGTTGTGATGTTCACTCTTGCCATCTCCTACTTGACCATGTCCAATTTACCTTAATTCATTGGCCTAATGGGCTTCCCTGGTGACTCAGATGCTAGAAAATCTGAGCACGTGACCCAGGCTTAATCCTTGGGTCAAGTAGGTCACCTGCAGAAGGGAATGTCTGCCTACTCCAGGATTCTTGCCTGAAGACTTCCATGGACAGAGGAGCTTGATGGGCTACAGTTCATGGGGTCATAAAGCATTCCAGGTTGCTGTGCAATATTGTTCTTTGTAGTGTTGGACTTTACTTTCACCACCAGACACATTCACAGCTGAGCATCGTTTCTGCTTTGGCCAGACTCTTCAGTCTCTCTGGAGCTATTTCATTGCCCTTTACTCTTCCCTGGTAGCATACTGGACACCTTCAAACCTGGGGAGCTCACCTTTCATCTCATATCTGTCTGTCTTTTCGTACTGTTTATGGGGTTCTCCTGGCAAGAACACTGGAGTGGTTTGCTGTTTCCTGCTCCAGTGGACCATCAGGTAGACCTCTTCACTGTCATCCGTCCATCTTGAGAGACCCCGCATGGCATGGCTCATAGCTTTATTGAGTTACACAAGCCCCTTTGACATGACAGAGCTATGATCCACGAAGGGGTAAGTATCATAAAGTTCCTCATACTTGGTAGAAGTAAGCCACAAATTTGCCTCCCAGTATAGCCACCTAAGGCACCCAAAGAGAATCCAAAGTGTCCATATTAGAGCAGTACCACGTAGATATTCAGAAGAGGGCCCAACTCTGTTGTGCTGAAATCCAACACAGATTCCATGGTTTGTCAACTTAGTCTTTTCCGTATATTTTTGTGTGTATTCATCAACCAAAACCCAGTCCTGGGTAAATCCGAGTTTTGATCTGACTGCACCTGCTTTTTGGGGGAAGTAATGCATCCCAGCAGACTGGTGATATTGAATTCATGGTTGCAAGCCTTCAGCTGGTTTCTCAACACTGCTGTATGCTCTGTTCCCTCTGTCTTCCCATTTCCCCATTTTCCTTGATGACTATTTCAAACTTATCCACACTCCCCTCACAAATTTTTCCTCCTGCCCCAGCTTCCTTCTTCATTCACAACAGATTACCTTTCTTGCTTAACAGAAAAATCAAAAGCCTTCAAATGGGAAACCCCTCAATTTACAGCTACGAAATGTCCTAACCTTCTTATGTTCTGCTCATACTCCCAGCCTGCTTTTCAGTTAACAGTGGAAGAAATCACTTTCTGTGTGCCTTCTTGTATAAGGCTGTCTTTCTACTTCTGTTTGATTCTTTTGTTTTAGTAGGGAAACTTTGTAAAATGTTTTTGGTTTGTATTATTTTAACACTTCTCTGGGCTGTTGGGAAGAGTCAGTACAAATTTCCAAGCCCTGGGCTCCAGAAAGGCATCTGGAGAAAATCCCATGTAAAGATGTAGCCAATTCACCTTTGCGGGGAACCTGGAAAACTTTTTCACTAGTTCTAAAATTACTTTCTATGGCCTTCCCAAATCCTTCCCTCAAGCTGTCGTCACTAACCTTCTCTAAATCAGATACACTTTCCAGGTCTCATCTTAGCAAGCTAAGGCTCTTGACTATGCTTTTTAAAAGCATTTTCTTCTCTTAGCTTCTTTGATACCACTAGCTTGAGCTTTTTCACTGTTTTCCTGGCTTATTTATCAGTACCTCGTCCTTTCACTCCTAACTTGGTCCTCTTCAAGACTCTAGCCAAAGCATTTCAGTCTCACTCTGAAAACTTTTCTTCTTGGAAAATGCAGTTACTGTGGTAGCTACTATTATTAAGGACATTGTGCGGGCTCCCTAATATGCATCTTCAGCTTAGTCTTCTTTCCATACCTTTAGACCCATTCACTAAATTGCTTTGTATATCTAATTGGCACCTCAAATTCAGCATATCCAGAGCAGAACTTAGCATCTCATACACACCCTCCTCCAACTAGGTAACTAACATTATTCCATCTCTTTTTGTGGTATTACCATCCACATAGTATCAGACTTAGGGTGTTCAATAAGTAAAACTTATATTTTTCAGAAAGATAACATGTTAGAGAACAAAGACAAGATTTAAAGGCCTACGTTTAAAATAATTGATTTGAAGAGAACCCTTCTCCAGTGTTGCTGGCAGTGTAAGTTGCTACAACCACTGTGGAGAACAACATGCGTGCTAAGTCACTTCCATCATGGCTGACTCTTTGTGATCCTATGGACCATGGCCCACCAGGCTCCTCTGTCCATGGGATTCTCCAGGCAAGAATACTGGATGGGTTGCCATGCCCTCCTCCAGGGGATCTTCCTGACACAGAGGTTGAACTCAAATCTCTTAACATCTCCTGCATTGGCAGGCAAGTTCTTTACCACTAGCGCCATCTGGAAAGCCCAGAAAACAGTATAGAGGTTTCTTAAAAAACTTAAAACTACCATATGCTCTAGCAATCCCATTCCTGGGCATATGTACAGAGAAAACCATAATCCAAAAGTATACATACACCCCGTTCATTGCAGCACTCTTTACAATAGCCAAGACGTGGAAGCAACCCAGATGTCCATTGACAGAGGGTTGGATAAAGAAAATGTGGTACATATATACCTTGAAGTATTATTCAGCCATACAAAGAATGAAATAATGCTGTGTGCCAACAACGTAAGTGGACCTAGAGATAATCATACTAAGTGAAGTAAGTCAGACAAATATATATTACTCATGTGTGGAATTTAATTTTTTTAAAAAGATAGAATTAAACTTATTTACAAAATGGAAACAGACTTACAGACATTGAAAACAAGCTTACAGTTACAAAAGAGGAAATGAGTAGGGGATAAATCAGGAGCTTGGGATGAATACACAACACTACTATGCATAAGGTAGATTACCAACAGGACCTACAGTGCTGCACAGGAATTCAGTATTCTGTGATAACCTGTGTGAGAAAAGAACCTAAAAAAGAATGAATATACACCTGAAACTAATGCAACACTGTGAATCAACTATAATCAAAATATTTTTAAAAATTTTAAATAAGGGTGAAAAATGAATTATCTTTGTCTCCTATAGCATAAAAAATAAGATAAAACAACTGCTTTGCTTAGAATTGTATTAATGGGTACTCACTTAATGTACATCCCTTGTACAAGTTCCAGGTTCCCTCATCTCCTTAACCTACCTCACCATCAGTGTGAGGTAGGTCACCACCTTCGCCCTCCACCCTCAACATTTGTACCTGGAGTATTTCGCCCATAAAAATATAGGTAGGCTTAATTGAAGCAGTATTGTATTTCAGGATCGCTATGCTTAGAGCAGCTTTTAAAAGCATGCTGAAACATTAAACAACATCTACTGGGAATATTTTGCTCCAAACCCTGAAGAACTGCTTTACAAATGAACTGTGGAATAAATACTATGTAGAAGATGTAGACTGCTTAAACAGTCATTGTGCTGAATTGTGTGAAGAATGTTTAAGTACAGAGGGAGCGCAGCTTCTGGACAGCAGGAGAAGCCCACATGGTTTAAAGGCACTTACTTGAAATCAAATCACTAAGTCAGCGGCTAAACTGAGGCTAGAGCCTGTGATGCTTTTTCTATTCCTTTTACTGGAATTTTCCCCCTTAACCATGTTCCTGTGTTTTTATTTTGAAAAGTGTAGACAATTTCATGTTCACAGTCTCTTGTTAATTTCTTTTAAAGCTTATTGGCATTTCATTTTTCAAGTGTTTTAATATTTTTAATTTCAGCTGCATCAGGTAGGTCATTTGCAAATGGTAGTGTTTCTAAGTCAACTTAAAAATACCTACAGACGTTTATAGTTTTGCATAGAAGTAATACTACATTAATTACATTAACAAAGTTTAGCCAACTTTATCTCTATTGTAGAAATATTTTTTTTTATTCCTTGAAGGAAACTTTTGGATACAAAAAAAGAAACTTGACATGTATCAAACAAACATCATTTAATATGGACTAAAAGGGATATATGCTTGCTTTGTGTTAACCTGACACTTGTGTTTATAAATACCCTGTAGATTTTGGCCCTCCACACCCAGCAGACAAAAGAAGGAATAAATGACACCTTTGTGTAAACTATTTAAAAATATTACCTGACTGTATTTGAAAACTGTCCTGTTTGAAACATTTCTGACAATATTTATTGGCTTAGAAATAAATGTTCTGCCTTTTTACTATGTAAAACATTATTAACTGTAATGTTTTATTTTTATTCACAGATTATTATAAATACCGTTTGAAACATTTCTAAGACTATTTATTGGCTTAGAAAGTTCTCCCCTTTTACTGTGTAAAACATTGTTAACTGTAATTTTTATTTTCATCCACAGATTATTATAAGTATAGGCCTCATGTTTTATGTAGTTCATCGAGCCCAAGTGGAATTGAATGCAGCTATCGTAGCTTGCGAAATGGAACTGAAAAGCTCTCTGGTTAAAGGCAATCAACCGAATATCAGCGGCTCTCCATTCTACAAGAGGACCCTAACATTTTCTGGAGATGGAGTCAATATTGTATGATTCTAATGAAATGTGTGATTGTCAAGAGCCTAGTGTGCTGTCTGAGATCTAGCAGTTCCCTTACTTGTGGGCAGAGATGCAAGTTTTAATTGTATTATGGCACACACACACACACACACACAAACAGACACACACACACACAAATGACTAGTTTTTAAATTGCACATTTTTTAAAAACAGGAATCATTTTCTGGATATGTAAGTGTAAATGTAGATGCAATTTCGGCTGCAGTTCTTTATCATTTATTATGCCCTTAGTGGCCTATAAGTCTGCACTTTAGGTTTTTTTTTTTTTCCTTCATTATTTTCTTTATGAGTACTTATGAACAGAAAAATAATCCAAATATTTTTCTGCTTAGTGTCTTTATTTATAAAGACTATGAATACTTGTATGTGTCTTTCCTGCTTATAAAAATGAGTAAAAGTATGCAGTTTTAAATGTATAATATTATTGGATGTTCTTTGCTTTTGTAGTGTTTCCAGAAAGGATAAATGATGTCTTGTTTTGTTTTGTTTAATGTTTTAGTTGGAACCACTTTGCTTTCCTTTTCCTTGCTAGTTAGAAAATAGACATGAACTTTTGTTTAAATGTATTTTTGCAAGGATCAAATTGTTACACCTATACACACAAGTTTAAATCCTACATTGTGGGACTGAAGTGCTCTTAAGATACCTTTTTTATTTTTGCTGTGTAATATGCAAAGCAAAAGGGAAATTATTTAATGCATAGTGGCTCAAATTAGAACTTGTGTTCTAATTTCACGTCATTGGTTTTAGCCTCCTTAGGTCTTCCATCAAAGGGCTGTCCTATTACAGTCTTACTGAAAATTTTATTAAAATAAACTTCTTTTCTTTTTGTATTCATTATTAGGCTTTGAAATAAAGATGTTATTCCTTTAAAGTGGTGGGCTTGCAGTCACTGAAGATGTCACTCTGGTGGCCTTGTTTGATCAAAATGCCTATCTAAAAAAATTAAGCTTTAAAATCAGGTTTATAATTCTGTTGAAGTACACATATATTTGTCCCCATAGTCTTCAGCTTTAAAACTGTAAGTAATGTTAACTTGATGCCCAGATTTGTATTATATATTTGCCCTACTATAGAGTAGGCTTATTATGTTTGTTTTTTGCTACTTGTTTTCCTCTGATAAGACTCAGGAATTCTGAAATGTGAAATTAAGTCTCAGTTCTTTTTCCTGTAGAATGAATTAAGTGTATTTATTAATAGTACTTATGTGTATAGCATATAATAATTTGGTATATGATTCATATGATGTTCATTTATCACCTTATATTTTTAAAGTAGCTTAATTGTGATCTTAATGATAAGTTTATTTTACAGTGGAGATTATTGATAATGAATGCAGATTTTCTGGTAGGTATCTGTTTTTTAGCTATGAAGGTGCCACCTTATCAGAGACCTCCCATTTGCCTTTTCATTAGGGTAAATTCTTTGCCCTGATTTACTGAAGTGCAAAAGAATTATTTAGAAGCAATTATTTTATTTTTATGCTAAGGATGCATTTAATCATTTTAGTGTATAAATTTTTGCCCTGTTGCAGGTATAATTATTTCTCTTTCCTTCATACTGTATAAGTTTTCTCACCTTTGAATAACAGTGAAGTTTGTTGTTATGTCTATACCAAGTTCTTCTTGGTATAGTCCAGATGATTTTACAGGGACCTGGGTCTATTGCAATCAACTCACCTACAAATCTTTCCTTCTTTTATTGATAGAAAAATACCATTGAAATGTTATTATTTTTTAAATCCTAATTACTTGTTTAGTTTCTTTAATAATTATTTTAGTTTAATTATCCTAATAAACAATGATTTGATTTATTCTTGTCTAACTTGAAAATATTTATCTTATGCTGTTTGTTTAGTTTTTTTATAAAGAAATTAATTAAGGTCACTACTTTCATATACTTGTATTACACTTCATGTATTTTGAAGTGCATTTATTTACTTTGGCATTTTGTAACTTGAATAATTTTGCCAAATGAAAAACTTTTGGTAGTTTGTCAGGAGTTTTTCCAACTGTTGCATTTTGCTTAGTAGTTAAATATGTAAAGGTAAAAGAGACGTAATTTTTCTATATTCTGCCAACATGATTTTATATAATAAAATCATCCATTTTTACTTAAAATAGTATGGATTTACTATTTTTAAAACATTAAAACTGCAGTTTTCCTTTTGTTCATCATTTCCAGCCTCCACATAAACTGCCATCCCTTATAGTCATGCTATTTGATAGCTGCATTTGGTTGCTGGTTTTTTATTAATATATGTGCTGTCTATAAATTGTACAAAACATGCTGTATTGTACAAAACATGTACAATGTTATATTCATTCCATCTTTAACTCCACATGCCAGATTTCTGGCAGCAACAAATTTCTATAGGATCCTTTTTATGTTGCTCTAATATTGCCTCCAGTCATAGAGTATATATTAATATATATATTATATATTGGATCTCTTAAATATATGTATTTACATATATATATAAATTATATATATATTGGATTTTTTTATTTCTCAAATCATTTAAGTACAGTTAAAGTTGCTTTTCGCATATTTTTAAAAGCATGCAATACAGTTGTTTCAAACCTTTTGAAAAATATGTGCTGTTTTTAATTCTTTGGACCATTTTCTTAGTTTTCCACATTTTATGATTTATTATTAATGATTTTGTTTACTCTTTGCCAAGTTTTGTCTCATGAATTATTTTTAAACAGCAACACACCCCCTTTTAAAAACTTGTACATAATAATTTACTAAATATTTTCATGTCCATTTTCATTTGATCATATGATTTGTGAAATACCTTGAAATCTATACTTTGGTTTGTGAAAATAATAGAACCAAATCTCTGTCATTAGAATGTATATTTTGAGTTTATGTTCAGAAGTGAGTTTGTGGATTTGTTCAGAGCCAGCCATACTCTCCTTGTATGTACTTTGTAACCAGTTGCAAACCTTTCTAAGAAGACTTTCCCATGGTAGGATCAGGCTTATGACTATAAAGTATTTCCTTCCTTGAGAAGCTATATAATTCAGTATCTACTCTTATTTACCATTGCTGTAACTGAGCTAAGTGGTGGAGGCTATTAGCGTATACCAGTATGCATATGTTAACGTGCAATACTGATTGGAACTATTCTTAGGTGATATGGCTTATTTACATCTACATTTGTAGAACTGTCTTTATTTTTTTTTCTTTTTTTTTCCATTTATTTTTATTAGTTGGAGGCTAATTACTTTACAACATTGCAGTGGTTTTTGTCATACATTGAAATGAATTAGCCATGGATTTACATGTATTCCCCATCCCAGTCCCCCCTCCCACCTCCCTCTCCGCCCCATCCCTCTGGGTCTTCCCAGTGCACCAGGCCCGAGCACTTGTCTCATGCATCCAACCTGGGCTGGTGATCTGTTTCACCCTAGATATACATGTTTCAATGCTGTTCTCTCGAAACATCCCACCCTCGCCTTCTCCCACAGAGTCCACAAGTCTGTTCTATACATCTGAGTCTCTTTTTCTTTTTTTGCATATAGGGTTATCGTTACCATCTTTCTAAATTCCATATATATGTGTTAGTATACTGTAATGGTCTTTATCTTTCTGGCTTACTTCGCTCTGTATAATGGGCTCCAGTTTCATCCATCTCATTAGAACTGATTCAAATGAATTCTTTTTAATGGCTGAGTAATATTCCATGGTGTATATGTACCACAGCTTCCTCATCCATTCATCTGCTGATGGGCATCTAGGTTGCTTCCATGTCCTGGCTATTATAAACAGTGCTGTCTTTAGAATGCTTTAGAACTGTCTTTAGAATGCTGAAAGTTGCTAAGAATATGGTAGGTTGATACAGGTAAATTCTGAGGTACATGGTAAAACCTTGCTGTTCAAAACCAGTCACCCTGTGCAGAGAAGATGAGAGGTTTAATGAGGACCTCAGGAATAATGATACTAAGTTGATGACTTCATTGGTGGAATTTTGTTTCAAACACAAGCCACTTAGTGTACCAGAATGGTGGTCAGAATAACGCTAGTTGGCTTTTAAATTTTACATTGCTGATTCTGTTAATAATAAACTGCTTAGGATATACTTTTTTAATGGTCACGTCTTTAACCTGAAAAACTTAAAAGAAGTAGAATACTTCTTCCACAGGATCTTTAAAACTAAGGAATTCCAATAACCTTGCATATGTTGAACATAAACTGTTAACTGATTCAGCAACTGAATTATAACTTGGTACTTCTGAATGGCAAAGTGATCCCTGCAAACTATTTTCTAAGGTAGCTGAAGGTTTAAAATAGGTAATTCTAAAGGTAAATCAGCAAAATCTCTTGATAGTTGGTATCCTAAATCACATGTGTGCCTGAGAAAATAAAAGGTTATGTTTTATTTCCTTTTCTCTTCTCTTTCTTCCCCTCTATAATTGAATGAATTTAGGGTCATTTGCAAGGGGAGGGAGCAATTCGGGACATGGGACATGTCCTGTGGGACATGTTTCTAAAAATGATAATGCTCATAAATGACCCTAGATGAGGGTGGTTATGGTTATGGCAGAGGCCCTGTGGAGAAATGATTTTGGTGTCTTACGTTGGCACTCAATCTTCAGTGTGTTTTTTTCCTAATATCCCCAAATCATGAAATGCTACCTGCCAGTCAAATAACAGTTAGTCATTTGCCCAGGCTATAGAAATGTTTATGTTGCCTTTCATAATGTTAAATGACTTTTACCAATCTTAATTTCCTATTGATGTCTACCCTGTTTCTATGACTATTTCCTAAGGACCTATTCCAGCCACCATAAAGCTTTCTTCTTAGTACTTGGAATGACATTGTCCTTGTTGGTTTGTAGCTGATCCCATACTGTTGGATGTACACTTTTCCTAGACATTTTAGACCAGAATTGCTTGCTAGAGCACAAATAGGCTACCATATGTTGCAGGCTGCCTTTGGCTGGGGGTGGTGCAGTGGCACAGTA